ATAACTGATATGATACCTTCACGGCCTGTTCAGCCGATTTGCGAGCATGGTCAACATGCTCGACTCGTCTAATTTCATTATAAAGCTTCAAAGGGAATGTAGCAACATCACCCACAGCGTACACATCAGGCACGCTCGTTTTGAAGAAAGAATCAGTCTGAACAAAGACAAAAATGTCACGTAAAAATCTGTTAAAAAAGTTCCAAGAAGAGCAGTAAATAACAAAATGTGGTCCATTTTAGGATGGAAAATATCGATGGAGGGAGGCAAAACCGAACACACCTTGATGCCACCCTTTTCCTCTTCGATTTGGCCCTTAAATAGTGTCGTGAGTGGTCTGCCACCTACACCAACAACAACAATATCAGCTTCCAGTACCCTGCCATCCTTAAGCTTCACATTTGTCACCTGAACCAAAAAGAAAACGAAAAGGAATTTGAAACTTGTCATTCAGCTCGTTTTTTAGTTTTCATGGTTCATTTTTCAGTTTCTTGGGATTCAATTTTTTAATATCAAGTATTTTTTGAGCTGTTTCAAATTTTGAGATTTAGTTTACGTATCTCTATGATTGAGAACTCACCTCCCCATTGTCATTGCTGCCAAATCCAACGGCTACAGTGCCCTTGATGATATTGACTCCCTTGTTCGCATAGTAACCTTCGTAAAAAGCAGCTATGCCAGCAGTGAAAAGCCTGGGCACTTTTTATATATGCACACAACATTATTTTCATTGCCTTTTTTCACAAACTTTGAAAAAAAAATTAAAAATGAAAAATTACGGCTAGTATGACTTACTGCACCAAGGTTCTGGGAAGACCATAGTGACGTCGAAATTGTTGATTCTCAAAGCTGCACTTAGCTCGAGGCCGATGTATCCTCCACCAACAACCACAGCTTTTCCATTTTTCTTTCCGTTGATTGCTTTCACGAGTTCATCAGCATCATCTATCTCTCTCAGGTAAAAGATGTTCTTAGCATCAGCACCTTCTGTGCCAAAGTCGGTTAATCTAATAACCTGACGAAAGAGAGCAGCAGGCAATTAAAAAATAGCTGTCAGTGACATGACCTACTGCTGAAAGATAGAAAATATAATTAAAAATAAGAAAATAGGAAGAAAAAAAAATGAGGAGTGTTACTTAACAGAAGAACCAGTTGCTATAATCAATTTTTGGTATTTAAATGTTTCACCAGCTGCACTGATAAGTGCCTTTGAAGCAAGATCTGCTTTCACAATTTTCGTGCTGAGTATCAAAGATATCCCTGTTGATCATGGAGACAAGATTAGCAGATTGGGAATATATTACGAACGGGTCGAATTAAAAACAAATTTTCACAAGAAAATGCCATGGTATATCAAATACTGGAATATAAAATTAATAAGAATGGATTACCTTTCTCTGTGTACCACTCAGGAAGGAGCCTCTCTCCACCACTTCCAACACACACGTGAAAACCGGGAAGTCTTGCAGTTCCTGAAAGATATATACGTTAAGTAAAATCAGATTTTTGTGAGAAAGTCCAAATGCACTTCCACAGGAACTTCATATGGACCAGATAGAAACCCGCATTTGATGTTGAAGTCATTATTAATTAACACCCCAAACATGAAACGAAGACGAAGAAAAAATTGAGGGAAAAGTATCTTTATGAAATGAAGAGAGCGAGACGTTCAACAAGAAACCAAGGAAAGCCAAGTATTATATCACTGAAACTCGTTTACAAAATGAATTATAAGCGCCATATATAGGTTTGTAGTCTGTAGATTTCCATGGGTTCACTTGTCTACAATCATTATCAAAGAAAAGGATCCCCAAGCTCAGAAACATCATATTTTGTCTTTAACAGACGAAATATAAATAAACTTACCCTCAGGAAATAGGTATGCCTTACTAAGTGCCGGACGTTCATAAGGAGCCACCTGAAACCATCGTTAAGCAAGAGTATTGAGGCTCAACATACAATTTCATAAAATCATTTTAACACGAAAATTACCAAAACACCAACATTGTTTCTTCCAGTAGAAATAATTCATCCAAACATGCCAAAGGAATTTAGTAACATTCAAATCGCTAATCTGGATTTGGAAATAGAAGAGCAAAATATGAACTAAGCAACACAAACCCATCAAGAAACAGGGTATTTAATATTTATGTTATTTATTTTACATCTAAGACAGAACTAAGTAACAATCTAATATCCTCGTTTGCTATTATCAAAAATTCCTAACTATTCAACAACAATGCCGAATGAAGATAACTCAAAATGAAGAAAAGCTTTGAATGCCTACCGCCTCTTTTGAAATGATAGCCAGTTCGCCTGATTTGACTCCCTGCTTGGCGAACTCCCTGGCCGCATATCCCTAACGCATAAGAAAACCGCAACTCAGTGACCCCAGTGTTCGAGTTTCTCAAATAATTGCACTAAAAAATATTAACTACACATCCATTTTTGTGCCAACACATAAAACAGCATAATCGGGTTGCTCCTTTGACCGTTAGTTCGTAATTCATATACATAGCACACGTCGCTCTCTCAAACCCACAAAATATGATTTGAAACCGACAAGGAGTGAATTCACATAGCATCAATGAAAACAAAGCTTCGTATATTACATAAAAACATGAACAATTATAAACATACAAACCAAGAGAACCCAGAAGACGGGAAACAAAACTTGACTGAGCAAACATAGCACCAGCTAACACTACGATGTCATTTCATTTATGATGCCGACGAAAGTGCGTTCGTTTCTCGACATACATGATCGACTCCGATCTTTAGTGTGATCGTTATTATTTTAATACTAATTATTTCGTTTATGTCTGTTGTATTTGGCTTGTTATGTTGGGCTTTTAAATGTTGTGGTTAGGATTTAGGAATTGGCTGTAGTATTTAAAAACAGATGTTTTCTTTTTGTTTGGCAGTTATGAATATTATGAATTAATCGTGAAAAGAAACGTTCTTCCTCGTTGTGTTCTCTGAACACCAATTCCATCTGCTTTTGCTGCATCAATTTAGCTCCTTAATCATTCAGATCGAGCTAAAAAGCGCAGAAATCAAAAAATGGCGATAACAGCAAAACAATAACAACATCAAATTAATCTCCTCGCGATCAAGATCCAATGAAGCGCCAAAACAATAAACAGAAAAATCATCAAGCAACCTCAACATTGAACAACAAATGCAAAACAGGGCAAGCAATCGAAACTCTTTGAAATGCAAACAGGAAAGTATTGAACTTCGATATACTCACAGCAGAAACACCACCACCGAGAATCACGTACTTGAATGCTTTCTCCGCCATTGGCACAGATCGAATAATCGATGGAAATATTCAGATGAGCTTGTTCTTATGGTTAGGTGAGAGCGTTTATATGGACTGGTAAATATCCAGATAATATTGAAAAATTAGAAATGCAGAGAAAAGGGAAGCACGCTCGTGATTGGATGAGGATTGGAAGTTGTGGAAGTCAAATCTGTCGTATACGTGTCTCAATATGAGCCGTTGATTGTGATGACTGTGAGTTGCCATCGATATGATAATAACTGAATAAATCTGAAATCGCATGTTTAAAAATTGTACAATTTATTTATATTTTACTCCCTCCATTTTGAAATATAAGGCATTTAAGGTTATTGCACAAATATTAAGGAGACATTAATTAATGAATAAATTGACTAAATTAACCTTATTTACTCTAATCACAACCACTACACACTTCTTTAATTTCAATACAATGAGGGTATATTTGGAAAAAAATGCAAAAATTTGTCTTGATTTTTGAGTGCGCCTTATATTTCAAAAAAATTGAGAAATCTTTATACGCCTTATATTTCAATATGGAGGGAGTATTTTACTAAATGAATGGTACATGTCATTCATCTAACTAGTACGTAACCCGTGCGATGCACAGGATGTAAAATTTGGAAGAACAATATAACCTGTGCATTAGGATCAAAAGTGAAATCATTAAAATACATAGGAACATTGTTGAATCATAAAAAGTTCGGTAACAATCATATATTATTAAAAACCTCTTTGTACACAACATTATGAGTTTGATTATTTGGTAACTCCTCATTATCACAAACTAATATTTTCAAAAGAGACAAATCATAAAAATCAAACTAATATTTTGGTGAACAAACTAATATTTTAGAATTGGTGAACAAACTAATATTTTAGGATTTCTAGGAGTTGTCTCTTTTTAGTGAACAAACTAATATTTTAGGATTGATTGTATGAATAAGGCTACCTGTTTTTGTGTTCTTTTCATTCATTTTCATTCAAACAATCCGATGACTTATATAATAAAATCCGAATCTTAAGCCGAAATATTTAAAAAAAGAGTTTTTAAAAATTGAAAAGTCAAGGCAATTAGTTCAAATTAATTAAAGGTCAAAGAATATCCGCTCCTTGAAATAAAGACGTGTGCTATCATTAACCAAATATCCGATTATTGATATAAAGTGGTTACCAAAAAATAAAACGCGATAAGGACGCTTCATGGAAATATCAATGGGATAAAGTCATAACAGATCGCTATACATTTTAACGATAAAAGCTCAGATGGAATGATTTATGATAATTATGTCGTAATTAATGAATTAATTAGATGTGTGAAAAGGACATAATTAATGAGAAGTGTGAAAATGACATAATTAATGAGAAGTGTGAAAATGACATAATTAATGAGAAGTGTGAAAATGACAAAAACTTACCGATTTTAGAAAATATTTAATGCAAATCCGACATTGACCATAATTTGACCTATTATTTTAAATAAATGTTAATTCTTATTATATAAGTATAGATTAATAAAACATAAATTATAACAATTTTAAATAATTAATTTTTTTCCCCTAATTGACATCACCACCATAAGGATTGTAATGTTTGTTATATTTCTCTTTTTTTACTCCAACTATTCTTGGATTATGTCATTTTCTTGTTCTTGAGTTTAAATTCAATTTATCGTTTGAAAAAACAAAAAGACTCCAACTATTCTTATAGATATAGAAAAAGAGATGGCTTTCACTTGCAGGCTAGTACATATGTAGATTTGTTTTTCAAATTAAATTATTTGTGATTCCAGCTTGATTAAACTCGTCAAACCTCAAATTTCAACTTGTTTGTGTACTTAAATAAGTCGAGCTCGAAAAACTATTAGAGCACGTTGACAAAAAACTAATTTGTTTGTTTAGACATATTTAAACAAACATTCGAGATGAGTAAATTTACGAAACACATAAATCGTGTTCTCAAATAGTTCGTTTACGATTTTTAACTTCTTAAGCAAACGGGGTTGAGCTTTGCAAGCTTAAACGAGTCGAGACTTATACTTAATTGTTAAACGAGCATGGGACAGAATGTAAAGTGTTCAGCTCAGCTCGGCTCGTCTCAACTCAATTCGAATAACGCTTTTAAAATTATGTATATTATTTTTACCTAATTATGTTGATCTATCATAAATTTTAGACTTAAGGAGACCGCTTTCCAATTCAAACAGTCGTAAAACCCATGTTTAAAATGTTAATCGCGGCCCACCCCATTTAGTCAGGGCCCTTTAGTTTGTTTATAATGATTTGTGGACTCAAATTTGGGCTACAGATCACAGACATTTTTTTCTTAAACAACACATTTGTGTTGGTATGATTTATGCATTCATTTGAATAGAAATCTATATCTATATTTATATATAAGTAAATGCATCGTAAAATTATTTAAAAATGTGTAGTTACAATAATTGTTACTGCATTGAGAAAAATGAAGTTATAAAAAACATAGATATGAATGAGATTTTTTTTTTTTTATTGATACAAATCTTATGAAATGAACATTTTTTTAACCTTTAATTTAATGTACCACACCTTATTTATACAAGAATATCCTTAAAACAAAATAAAAGTAATTTGTGTACTTTCACACTTTCGAACTACATGAGTTTGTTCCATATACTAGGTTGGATAATGTGTATAGAAAGCATTGCAACTTTTAATACACTAAAAACATAGGTTTGTTGTCCAATTGGGGACCGCTTCTAAAAACAATAGTTCACCAACTAAATAAAATAAAATGTGCATATATTATATTATTGCCCTTTGGGGACCGTTGTTTTTTATTTTCCCCATATTTAATTAGTTGTAAATTTGTATTAAACTAGATTTGTATACAATGAGGTATTAGTATCGCTTTCAAATAACTTTTGCAGGAAAGTGATCGGTCTATTTGATAAAAACCTTGTTACTCTACTTGATACAAACCTTGTTTGATAAACAATCGGGCCAAATTAGAAAATTGAGGATAAATAATATATTTGACTTGTTAAACACTAACTTAATTTTTTCGGTAATTGATAATTTAAAACAACTTTTTTTTTATTCGAAAGTTTAATTTTGAACAAGCTCAATATATGAAGTTTTTGAAACAACAGATTTCAGTAATAGTTGTTTTCACAAATCAACATTTTTTTTTATCAAATATCTTATTTAATAGACAGCCAAAACTGCTAATTTAATTAACTATTTGTTGATTATATTGAACCAACTATCTTTCGCTCTTAACTCTTGTAGCAATCTGAAAACTCTAAATAGTTTTAAAAGAAAGTGATGGATTTCCATTAATTGGGTTACCTTTTAACACCACAACAATGGATATTCCACTTAAATAATTAAAGAACAATGATTTTAAATTTAATGGTTATTTAAATTAACATATCCCTCCTTTATAAATGTAGACTTTTCTGCAACTATGTGTCAACTTGTGGTGTTTCATAATTCTATGAGTCAAATTATAGTATTTAATAAGTTCGCGTGATTTGTACCTTTACACACACATGCATGTTGATACTTTTAAAATTATAAAACACTTAAACAACTTAAATTATAAATATATTTTAAAACTCAATAACTTTTTTGTTTGTTATCAAATTTTGATATATGATTTATCAAATTAATCATCTTTTGATTTTCGATTTAATATCTATATTGCACATGTATATAAAAAAATTATCTACATTTCCAAACAAAATATATATATTCAATATATCTTATTTGAATAATAATAAAATAATTAGTTTTAATCAAATTTTATATATCGAGTCTATTATATAATATATAAATTGGAAATTTCTAAAACTACAAATTTAAAGCTATTATAAAAGTATTTAAAACGATTTCTGAAAACTTTATTCTTTTTACTTTTTCAGTATAAATGTTTTAATTAACACCCGTGCAATACACGATTATCGCACACTATTCATACTAGTATATGTAAATTCAAACACTTGGTAAAAGTGGCGCCAAGATAATCTGGTACAGTTGCTTATTTTGATGACACAAAATTTCGGGCCTAACGGAAAAATATGGACCACCTCAAGAGGTTTACAACGGGACCATTACTTACGCATTTGCTTACAAATCCAAACCTTTTAAGAGCCCAATAAAGCTATGGCCCACTACAGAAAGTACTTACGCATTTTAGCCCAAAAACTCATGCTACGCCAGATTCTGACGTCACTCTCCCGTGTTATTCTTGTTAGAATTTAAAAAAACTAGTGCGTGGCCCGTGCGATGCACGGATAAACAATATTAAGATCTATTATAAATTAAATATATAAATAACATTAATCATGATTTATCCATTTTTTTAAATTAAATTGGATTGGACATAGTCGGATCGGATGGACCGTGAACCGGTTTATAAACAGTCTAGTTCGCTTGAATAAAATATTTGCTGACACCAGACTGGTAGAAACGATGAGATTTCCTAAATAAATTTCGTTACAGTTAAAATTATTTTCAATAAAATTACATATTTTAATAAAATAGAGATTTATAAATTGTTTATCAGTTAGTTTAAACATTTGAATTTATAAATTGTTTAGATATTTAAGTAACACATTTTATTCAAATTTATTACAAAAAATACTATATATATATACATATATATATATATAGTAAAATAACTTGATCATTTCGATGACTTAAATCGAGCAACCCACAATGATTTAAATCGAACAACCCACAATGATTTAATAAAATAACTTGATCGTTTCGATGACGGTCCAGTTCTGAAAACCTTATATTTACTGTACATTAATAAAAATCATAATAAAATATTATTTTATTCACATAAATATTAATAAAATAGTATATAAATATTCATAAATCATTTAACATGTTGTCATAGAAGTATTGTTATTGTGATTATTTGAAGTTTGGACTACATCACATTGACGTAATAAAGTATTTTCAATATTAAAATTTATATTTAGGTTCAATAATCGATATGGTATGATCAAACTGATACATAACTTAGTCACCTGAGACCAACCAAGTTGTGTCAAGTTTTTTTACTATTTTAAATATCACCTAAAAGTAATTCAATCAACCTGGGCAGTGCCCTAATTCAATCACCCGATTGATCCAAAGAAATTTTCTTATGTTTTTAAATATATTTAATTTTATGAAATAAAAATATTTTATGAT